AACACCGTGCGCACGTGAAATACGAATGAGCTCATGGATGGAGTGAACCATTATTCTGTGGTGCACCGGCTCTCTAAGCGTCGTGCTAGCGTCGAGCAGCTTGTCAAGCTACGGTTATGCAATCTACAAATTGATTTCAAGGAGCAGAATGTAGATAGCATAGTCTGGTGACTAATACCACGGAGCTTACATAGTGATGTGAATCGCGGCTGAATAATAATACGAAGAGAAGATGCCGTAGCTCACCGTTTCGGTATGTCATCATACTAGACTCAACTTGAGAAGTAGCAAGAATAGCATAGGTCATGATCAGTATAACATTGTAATGGGCAACACGTGAAGTCATCGCTAAATACAACCGAGTTAAATAAGCCCAATAAAGGTAGGTTAGATGTGGCTCATCCGTTCTAGGCGGGTGTAATAACCATAGTACATTGCACCAAATCCAGTTCAGTAGTTAGTCAGTCTAGAACGAGATGGTACCAAAGCGCGACTTACATGCGGGATATTGAATAAGAATGACACTAAGAAAATGACGGAGATGGAGCAAGCGAGTTTGAAAGTTAGAAAGGAAATGGTGCGAGTATGTCCACTGCAGGCTATCCGTGTCGGAAGGTAAAACCGGAGCCGGTTCGGTCGTCTCTCCTTCGAGGTGAGCGAGAATCAACAGGGATGTAGAAAAACCAGGCAGTCCTTCGCGCGTTACTATTTATTTCCCCCTGGTCATTCGTTTTGACCGCTAGCATATCTCGACCAATTCATCAGTGCCTAGAATGCCACCTATGCCCAAGCATTTTTATTTGAATGTCACATCGTGTTGCCGCTGTTCCGGAATCAACCTTGATGACATGTCTGAATCTCAGTGCGTTTACCTGAAGGCGGCAGCAGTACAAGGGGGTGTGCGTACAGAGACAGACACTTGGGATGAGATATGTTGGCCTCATATTGCAACCCGAAATAAGTCACTGTGTTACACGAGAAGAAGTGTAATAAGATCCATCTGTCAAGTGGGAACTTAGCGAGACACGAACAGAGGTTAGCGGGACTTGTAATTTAGGCGAGTCCAGCAGATAATGGTGTCACGCGATCAGTCTGACAGGTTAAAGCGTGGCGCTTACAACTGTTTCTAAATGGCTTCCACTGTCATTCAACATGAGATATCAGTTGACGCACCAAAGGTCTCTGGTTCGAGTTGCAGTACTGTAGTGTTGCGAACGGGCATTTGTTCACACTTGTGTATGGACTACCACAAACAGGATGGAGAAAAAACAACCCACATGAGCAATAAAACTACGAACGTGCGCGAGTATGTATTGAATGTAATAATAACAGCCATATTCCCTAGTGTTGGAAAATCTCACGTACAATTATAAACAACCAATACGACTGTTGCTGGTTAGATAACAACTGGTAGAAATTCGTCACATCTAGACTCACAGACAGCCGTCACACGCCCGGAAAAGCACTGTACGCGCGTTTCATCCTTTCGGGAACCGTCAGCAGTGCGCATTCCACCGGACCTTGGTATGGCTCGAACCCGCAACTCGACTGTTGCCAGTCCGTGGTTGAGACCACTGAGCTACGGGGTACGGTAACGACCATCGTGAATTAGTTACTAGATGTGATATAGCGCTGCTCACTATCCACTGCCAACATACATTTTTCTTTCAACGAGAAGATCTACGGACTAATGAAAAGCGCACCAATGGCATAACCTGTGTCACGACTCGTTGCGGAGATAGTTATGCAGAAATTCAAGGAGGATGTACTGACAATCTTTAAACCGAAAATGTGGGTTCGGTATGTGGACGACACTTTGTGGTAATCAAACGCAAACAAGTAATAGTCGCACAACAGCTAGTTAATAACGCCGTGGAGGTGCTCCAATTTCCAATGATACTAGAGAATGAAAGCCAACTGCCTTTACTGGAATTATTAATAACCAAAACCATAAAAAGGAGACTCCAAACCTCGGTTTAAAAGAAAGGCACACATGCGGAATAAATTCTTAACTTTAACAGCAACCACCAGAAACGCCACAATGAAAGAAGCGTGCGGACACCATCTCGTAGAGTGCGAACAAAATGCAACGAAATGAAAGCAAAGAACAAAATTTCATGCAGGCATTTTCCTTCACGAATTTCAATAAAGCAAGAAGAAACAACATTTTAACAGAATTTACTGAATTCAGCAATTTCGCGTATGCTCATCAGCAGTTTACATACAGTCCGTGGAAAACAGTGCGATGTTAACAGCAAAAAATTCGAAGCGGTCGAAGATCCTTAGGCTCACGTGACCTGTTCCGAGGAAAACGCAATCACTAGCCTCACCAGGGTAGGGCTAGCGTGGTCACGAAATCAGTTTGTTTGCGTAGATTTGACTTCAGCCGCCTCCGCAAACTGTAGTAAACGGGGATTAGCTTGTTTGCTAACTACCCTGAAATTGCCAAGTGGGTTCTGCCATTCCGGGCAGTCAAGTATGTGGCGGGCAATAGAGTTAGTCAGTAGCTTCGGATCCTTAGCGATCATGTTTCGCGGAACATGCTCCGTAATCCTCGCTCACAGCCTTCTCACAGTTCGGCCTATGCACTAACTACCGCAAGTACAATTAAATAGGTAAATGCATGAGGCGGTAACTTGAGAATCCGGTCTGTCCTTCTGACTTGATGCAATACCACTAGCTCAGCCGCATAGGAACACTTCTTAAATAATTGACGGAGGCGATGCCGGCATCTTCGGTCAACTTGATCGCGCTGGTTACCCTTTCTCTTGTAATGTCAAGATGACTTGTTCTAATTCACGTTCGATTGTGTCTAATGAGCAAAGTTGACGAGCTCTAGGAAAAGTGGTACGTACTAAAGCTCGTTTATAGTTCATTGGGCAAAAGCTATTAAAGTTCAAGTATTGCCCCGTCCATGTTGCTTTTCCGTACACAGATCGGACGAGTGTACCATCTGGCTTTCTGTGTAAGTTAACATCTAAGAAGTGGTAAGATCCGTCGGACTAGTTTTCCATTGTGAACTTGATGGCTGGATGGCACATATCCATCAGTTTCAGTAAGTGTGCCGCCTGTAGAGGTGTGTCAACGACGATGAATGTTTCGTCTACATACCGGTAATAAACGTGTACATTTTGTAGGTAAGAAGCTAACACAATGTTTTCCAAGTGGCCGAGGAAGATATCAGCCAAAACTGGGCCCAATGGGCTGCCCATGGCCACGCAGAAATATCAGCAGACGTAAGTTGTGAGATAAAGCAGTCATTTCTTGCCTTATCCTGTCATGCACAAAACAACTAACAAGTTGAAAACAAGCAAGGTCGGATGCGGTCGATTGGTGGTCAGCTGACGGCCAATTATTACTGCGGCACTACCACGGCAGGCTCAATGTTACTGTCAACTGCTTCCGTATACACAGAAGCGATCGAGTAAAATGGTTTCAAGTAGTTTGAATATATGCGGTCTTTGGTTAGTTGCGTTGTACGTGGCTGAGGAGATAGGCCTGAAACGACCGACTCATCTCATATCTTAGATCTTCTGATATTTCTGTGTTGGTTGTTTGATATCCCCGATGTGGCTGCGCTTGATGTGTGTGTTGACAAGGTTCCTACCCGTCCAATATCCTCCACTTCGATTGTTGGCTCCAGGAGACAGTTGGCCGTTGCTGGAGGGGACGAGAGGCACGATCCTCGTGGCTGTGCTAGGCTCAAAGAATGGTTCCATAGAGCGGACTGCGGTCTAACCACCGCTTTGTATACGATTTGTACGCAGGGCTACCCAACTGGGCTTAACTGGTTCTGCTCTGCCAGTTGATGGAGTGAGGGCCGACTCCGTTGATGAAACGCGGCTCCCATCCACATGCCTCCCGGTCTTATTCTTTCGGGTTTACACTGGATATGGGGTGTGTGGATGGAGCTGTGGGTGGTGCAGCGCAAACCACCCATGGTCACTCTGTAGGCGTAGGCGTGCTGCGGTTGTCCCCGTGGAGACCACAGTGACAGGCAAATCCGAAACCGGATGCTGCCAACCATACATAGAACGAAGAGTTTCAGTCCGAACAAGCGGAAGAGAGCAGCTGTCCAGTTGGTGTATTAGCGTAATCAATATACCTTAGATGACTTCGTCAGAAACTGCATAAGTCAGTTTGGACATAAATCCCAACCGCAGCATAGCAAGAGTGATCACATCTGGGTGAAATAGTAATTTGTCCAAAGAGAAGGAGGCAATCAGATCATGGGGCCACCAGATGCATCAGCATCGACCGAAAGTGCGACTGTGTTAAGTGAGAGCGATCCCGGAAACAGAGCGCATACCTATGCGGTAAGTCAAAATTCAAACATGCAGTGGGCAACCCAAACAGAGAAGCGAAATCTAAAGCAGTGTGACGACCGAGGTGTTCATTGGTTAAACAAGAGTGCAACCAAATTTTCCAGCGCGGAAGGATCAATAAATACCTAGAGAGATAACCAGAGCTAGATGTGTTTCGATCGATCACACTGTGAAGATCGTTGCTCCCGATGATCGGATCCAATTATTGACTTCGATTACTTCGCCTTCAGAAGCTCAAACAAAAATGAAACAAGTGATGGAGCGCAACAATAAAAATGTTATTTGGCAATAAGCATTAACGTACAACATCCATTGATTCACCGAGACTGTTCCAGTTCGTAAGGGGCACTGTCAAAAGAAAACGTGCATCAACGGCAGGCCAGTGCGCCGCCCCGCGATGACGACCAGTCGTACACCGTCTAGGAATACTGCGAGGTCGCCGGCAGATTCGAACCGGTGACGCTTAAGGTACAAGGCAGACGACCAATCGCATCGGCCACTGGCCGTAAGAGAATGTCAAACAGATGAGGTCAACTCAATATCCACGAGACGAACTAGCGCATGGTATCGTTAAGTCAAAAATTGTCTTAGTTCGTATTCAAGTGGATCTGGATTCATTACAAGTGAGAACGAATTAGAAGATTCCGGACAAAGCGATTAGTGGGGCACGCTTACTTTTGGAGAAATCGCTGTACACACGAGAACGTGCGGCCGTGAGTAGACGATCTGATTCGTTCAGTAGGAACCAAGATGGACAACTACGTGGACCACGCCGTTCCTGTTCCAAGCCAGAGGCACCCAAAGTAGAGAGCGCCGCTTGTCTGCATCCTTCCAAAGCGCTGAGAAAGGTAACGGCATCAGACCCGATTAGCAGGAAAGATAAGCGTCTCAAATTAGTAATATCATCCATGAGACGTCTGCTACTGGTGCTGAGCTGATTCCACATCGGATCCAGAAAGAGATTGATCTGCGTCGGAATGTAAAGTATTGCACTAGTATGATAGAACAATCGGTGCACAGACGTGTGGATAAGGGAGACATCATTAACGGACGAGAAGCAGAAAGTTTCAGCCTAGACTGATTCCTTGCGACATGGATGGTAAAGAGAATGATGGTCGCTGCAGAAATGCTGCACAAGTACATGGGGTATGTGACGTGAGCAACCGATGTGGTAAGCCATAATGCACAGAAGGGTTAACATGAAACACGTAATTCGGATGCCGGTGAATGCAGATGGTACACACAATACAGAGGATATTTTACTGACGGATAAGTACAAAGATAGAGAACTGGCCTCGTTGGGCATCGGATCCGAGTTCGGTCGCAGCGTATTGGATCTAGTTGTCGTGATTCACCTCGCCAAGAAAGCAATCATTATTCGAAAAGGTGTGAAAATGATGGAGAGAAGAATGGAGGATTTAGGATAGACGAAAAACGCAAATCAATCGATGAAAGAGCTTAGAGCCAGAAAAAGGGATTGAAAATAGGGGTAACATCAACTCCGTAACCGCGTTATGTCTGACACTGATTCAAAGGCTGCTACTTGTATCGATGTCCCATTCAGGGAGACGACACCCGACAAAACAGTTTGACCATCCTATGAGCTACGTCATACAACTTTGTTCTGTCATCGACTGCCCGCCTCAAGATCTCGCTAGCTTGGGTGTACTTTCGGTTAACATGCGCCGAAGAAGTCAGTCGGTGGGCGTTTAGAGCATATTGCTCGGGTAGCTGAGAAGTTCGAGGTCAACAGTCAACATAGTGCGGCGCTAAAGGTGTTTTCAATACTTAATCGGTGCTCGCACCATGCATGGAAAATACGAGGTTCGGGGGCTGTCAAATTTCCACGGCATTTGGTGGCTACACCATTGATTCGTGTCTAGACAAAAATGAGACGCGCCTTTACAGGCATGATTATAGTAAGATAACAAAGCGTAATCAAACATGTACAGAAATGCGTGTTTGCCGTAACTGTGAATTTTTGTGTAGGGGTGTGTATATCTATGTAATTGTGTATGCGTGAAGCTGTGTGGTTTGTGCTTGTTAGTGTGCCATTGCATTCTTGACTGTTGGTAGCGACGGCAATGTGAGAACAGATGATTGATGTCCGTGAGTTGGATAGGATTATCCGGATATTCATGGGGCAGCGACTATTTTGGTGAAGAGACACATCCGCCAAGTCGCAGTGTTGATAAGTGGACATTTGTGGCTTTTTATAGAGAGAAGGCTTGCCAGGCGAAAACCCACCAAGTCCTGGAACACTGCCGCCGAACTATTTGCTAGAACCCCGTGGCGGAGTTGTACGCTATCGGGCGCGTCCCCAGGTTGCGGATTGGGGAATGCCTTCCTTGTGGAGGTAACTGCGAGAAGTCTCGTTTGCCTTGTAGGCGTGATGAATAAGCAGTCGCGGACAATCAGTGGCAGCGTCTCAGAGCGTGGGGAGTTCTGGGCTGGTTACCTGGATCTCCAACAAATAGCACAGGAGCTCGTAGGGCGCTGTGTCAAAGCCAATGTGACCGGCTATAGGGTCACCGACCACTCACATCTGTAACCAGAGGTGATTATATAACGAAGAGCGGATGAACAAGCTTACTGGCCACCGACTTCGCTGTTGACTGCTACCGAACACGTAGAAGGCGAAGGAACCACCCGGAGGTAAACGGTCTTCGTTAACTGCCCCAGTGCCCTGCGGGTTAGGTCTCAAGACCAAAGGCTCGGGGTGGAGTCCCTTAAGTCAACCCTCATCCTCGGCCTCGGCAACCGGGGAGATCTCTGCCCACACAACAAAGCCTTCAAAACTTTCCAAATCCTTGCACTGACTACCCATTTTCCCCCATTTTATTGCTGTTAACTATGTGTTGTGGCAGTACCAATTGTAGATTGGTCAAGTGTTGAATAATAATGATAATTTGCTGGAACGGGTTAAACCCGAAACACCCAAGAGGGAGCTGTTCGGCTAGCTATCAGAACACATTCCGTTTGATCGACGGACTGATGTATGTCCATCTGCACAGACGCAGCAAAAAAGTAGCCAATGTAATTGATAAAATCGAAAAACAGTGGATGCATCAAAGTTCATACCTGATATAGAATAGAACTGTGATCGACAGGCTGTTTGGGATATACTACGCAAGCAAACATGCTCTGTATCGTTGAAAATTTTGTGACGAAAAGAACACGTGTGACAGTTCGTAACTTGTTTCACGTGTAGGTGGTGTGGCGAACACCCTAGAAAAATGGAGTGCAAAACAACCTGGTGTTCATAGTAGAAAGTGCAAAAAGCACTATAGTGGATGTGATGGTAGTGTCCATTGGGAGGGAACAGGTTGGAGAAGAAGGGAACGAGATGAAATCCATCGTTAAACGCAGCAGATAGACCTCCGCCTAGATGGCTCCGCCGATGTTCCTCGTCGTTTGTAAAACTAAGTCTCGGAGGAAACTTCATGGGTCCAAAAACACCGATGTTTATGGAGATTAGCGATAAATGCATATCGAGGCATTTTGTGAATCAAATGTGCTTCACTTTTTGCAGATGCGCTTGCGCAATAAAACGCATGTCCCTGATGGACTGAGGTTTTTTGTTGAGTGCTGAGAACGTCGAACGAACGCTTCCGCGGTCAACTAGGAAACAGCACGCACACGCATCACCCGAATCGTTTAGTAACGAAAACGATAAACAAACTCTCGTCAATCATAATGGCAGTTCAGGCTGCCGACGATTCGGGAGATGTAGAATGATGATCGTAGATGGATAGTGTACAGTGAAGCCAGGAACTGAGAGCAACGTACGGTATATTCCAATAAAACGTGGTTAGCTGCATGCGTGTAGTACAAACGATGACTCGGATGGGTGTGGTAGGAATCTAGCTGGCCATCACTGACGCAAGGAGGGTGGAGTATTAATCCGGGATAAGTACTGGTTATATGCTGTCATTGCACACAGGCAACCCAAATAGGGGATGAAGGTGGTGATAAGACATGAGGATGAAATCGATGAAATAAAAAGAGTGCAAGTATTGTGAAAGCAAGGGTTGAGTGGAGATGGGGATAACAGCTTGGAGTCAATTTAGTTGATATGGCAAGAAAAAAGTGTAATCGTATTTGACGGAATAGCAACGGGTAAACCCAAACAGGGTAAACGGAATAAATCGTTCATTACTGCATTAGCTGGCAAAGGAAGCGGGAAAATGTAATAAGAAACAGCATAACAGCTAGCCAATGGTAACGGGTTGTACGACACAGTTGGAAAAAATGCGGAATCTTAGCGACTTTCAGAATAGGTAAAGATACCGAGATGACAACAGTCCATGAAACACATTAGAATGAACAAGTGTCTCAAAGAACGGAAGTCTCAAGCAAGTACTAGCATCACTATGTTCAGAGAAAAACAGGGCATCAGCAGTACGCCGGTGCGCGGTACGTATGCTTCGATGCCATACAAGCACCAGCAGTCGTGTGTGGGGATATTGCTAGGGTCGCCCGGTAAAATACACAGGTTTGAACCCGTGACCTCCGGATTACAAGGCAGACGTGTGATCCTTTCGGCCACAAGCCGGTCTCTGTTCAGAGACCGTAATTCAGCAGAAACGAAATCCGCCCAGACCGGATTACCATGCTACCGTACCTGTTAACTGCAGTTCCCCGTTCTCCGGAGATGGCTGCGCAGCATCGATGCCGAATTCGGTAAACCGCTTGCCGGTGTTCCAACCGAAGGTGATTGTGGTTACTTACTTTCATCGATGGCTGACACACTAATAATAAGGAACTAATGATTATCGCACCGGCATCCCGTCTGTCCGGTCTTTCGAGTCCCTAGCCTACCATCATACAAGTGGCACCAACATGGTACATACGCTCAGAAATACCATAAATATTGCAGTAGGTCAGAGTAGTGATGCGTTCTGAGACACAGGGCAGGATACCAGAAAGTTGGGAAATGAGAATTGTGAAAGTTAAACTTACCATCAACGTATTTTTCCCGGGTTTCTATATAACGGACTTGGTCTACGTCCAGGGAATTGGACAGGGACGCTTTCGAATGTCAATAAGTGACACAAACGGCTGTTCAGAGAACATGAAGTAATTAAAAAGTGCTATTCTAAAGAAAACTGGTAGATGGTGTAGATGTATGTCTGGAGAAGGCTGAACAGCTCCGAAGGGAGATAGAGCCTGGAGCCTATGCTCCATTCGCTGGTTCCAATGAATCCCAAAAAAGCAGCCGCGGTATTATATTAGGGGTACCACAAGATGGATTACGGTAGGTCCAGGTATGATGATCCGACAGATTCAGCGGACCAGCAGCCTCAGATCGATTGAAAAAATTCACAAGTATAGAAAAAGTGCTCTTACATGACACCATCATCGAGTTAAACCCAAAACATACAAGATGATGTATCAATTCGTTAGCATTCAGTACAATCGGTATCCATGATCAAGTAAAAGCGTCCGAAGCACCGGGAATTCATGTCTTTATGGTGCCACTGTTTAGTGACACGAACGATATCGCGATCCTCTTCGCAGAATACGGTGACGACTGCAACCAGCAGTCGGTTCATTCAACTGGAGCCCACTTGGAATTTCGCGTTTAGGATTCTAGGAAAGTTTTGCCAAAAGTATAGTTTGTAACCAATTACGAAAAATACAGTATCCAACCGAAGATCTATACCAATATGGGTCCCAGAACATGTGTACCTATTACATGTATAGCATACCGTCAATATATATTAAGAGATCCCACGCAGACCTATTTGTGGGTGTTCTATAGAGCGATTGTGAACATGTTCAGCTTAAGAGCGTGTTTGTAATCACACCAGTGATTTAATAACCTCACATTCTTGTTTCCCATGGGAACGGCTGTAAATGAAAGGAGCACTGTTCGTGCCAAGCGACATCCGCGAGCCCACAGCAGTGAGATTTGTTGACGAATGAATTGCGTTGGTATGTGCATGTGATACGTACGTCTGCCCGCTGTTTGACGAAGTTCTTGTTCTACTTAACGGATATAAGGCAACAATGCTCAAGGAGATGATCGTTGACTTTGTATCGGGAAATAAAGCTATCAGCAAATAAACACGATGCACAAAATCCGTCCCATCTTCCAAGCTGTGGTCCACAAGATCTACCAAGCGTTTCGATGGAAACGTAACGGTAGAAACACAAAAGGATGGTTGCTTCCGGAAGATTACCAAATGCAATAAGAATCACGGGTAGTCGGTTCAGGGATAAAAACCACAGCGATGTCCCGAATGTGTGTAAGCGCCGGAAATCCAACACAAGATGTGTGAACTTAGGCTATCACTGTGGATGGATGGTATATAGGTCACATGGCAGGTTGTCCGTAAGACGATTAGAAAAATAAATTCGAATGTGTGTGACTGAGAAGCAGTACCAAGCAAGCAGTGCGTACAGGATCAAACGATAAATGCACTAGTACAATGAAAACAAAGGAAGAAAAACCAGTAACTAACCAAACTATTGAAATTTGGCAAGAGCGCATTTTCCACACTCAACTCGTCAATATTAAGCATCGGATTTTGAGCCACCAGCTCCTTGATGCATGCATTGATCAGTTCCAAAAGGCATGATTGACAAATCCTCATATTTTCTGTTAATTTAACCTTGAGGAAAACAGAATGAAAAATATGAAGATGAATAAACGGTGACGAGGGCGAAGAGTAGTTAATAGAAGAAAAAGCAAAGATGCTGTCGTTTGCCGATCTGGAGTTGAAGGATGACTCCTGTGGTTAGTCTGATGGAATTTCCGAAAGTCTATACTTCTGTAAGACCCTAGTAACAGCCAAAACGTTATGTTAGAAAGCAAGGCTGACAAGGCATTTTATTTCCAGGCGGGATTTTTGCCATTATCACATGCTCTGAAGTGCGTTAAATATGACAGTATAAAGGGTCCACGTTCGAATAATAGTAAATCCAGCAGTTGATGCTAAACAAAAAGGTGCCAGGAAGAAAAGAACTGAGACAAAAACGAGCACCATATAGAGACAAAGTAAGAATACCAAAGATTTAGTTTCGGATGCATGACCCACTACTGCCGAGAAACGAAGCGGGTGAGTGAAATGTAGGCTGGAACTGCATAGACGTTATCTACAGGGAAGTCCTTAGAGTGGCTTGTCCGTGCACATTCAACAGTTAGCCAAGCATCATCATCATCACCATCATCGTCGTCGTCATCATCATCACCCAGCAATCGCTTACCGTTATCATTACGGGAGCCTACAAAATGTTGGCCGCCCAGATGAACCTCATCAGAGGACAATTTTCCGATTTGGGCGTTCAAATCGCCAGCCAACACCACAGTATGCGTGCTTCTGCAGGAACAAAGGAGCTCGTGAAGTTGCTGGTAGAAATCATTTTTTACCGTATCAGTGCTACAGTTTGTAGGGGCGTAGGCCGCAATAACAAACAGGCACCGTTTGTCCCCGCGCGACTTCGTAGCACGGAACGAACCAGCTAATTTAACGGCTCATATCTTACCGTTTAGTGGGATCCAATCGATCAGAGCAGCTTCAGTCCGGGGACTCAAAACAACGTCGACATCAGCTTGACCGGCATTTGAAGCTGCATCATCGCTCGACAGGCGCAATGAGAATGTGACGTCAGTGTCGCATGTGGGGGATCGCAGGGTAACCACGGAGCTCGAATCTTGCAGGCAGGTTTCCGATAAACAGCAAATATCCGTCGATAGGGACTCTAGTGTGCGGGCAAGTGCTGCCTTTTGGCCAATCTGTAACAAAGTGCGCACGTTGAGGCATGCCAGTCTTAGCGAGATGCGAGGACTCCAAAGGGGAATGGATGAACTGACGTTGTTCGCTTGGTTGAGAATGGACTTGTCGACTGGAATGAAGCGACACCCTGCGACTGTGTGTGATTTGAAACTATGAGACAAGCGACTGTTGAAGCAAGCTGGGGGAGGGCCAAGAATTGGGGGGTTGAAACAGGAGGGATAAAAGTGAAGTTGGAATGGGACGATAAGGATGAAGAAGCGCAAGAAAAGGGATAAGAAGACGGGAAGGCCAGAGCAGTAGCATCCATACCCCTATCCACCCTACTCGATGCAGCAGATAGGGCGCCGTTTATTATCCCCTGCGACGGCCAGAGCATCAGAAATTGTTTGATGAAGGGTCCATTGTATTGCGTGGGCAGAATACTGTCAGGTAGCCCAGGCCAAGACAGGAGAACGATTAGGGTCCTCAACCAAAGTCCTTGGTACAAAAACTTTACCGCAAGTCAGCGGGTTTTGGCACTGGACTACAGAGAGCCCGTTTTATGAAATAAGGAGCCACCCTCATTCCAACCCCCCAACCTGGAGGACCAGGAGGCTGAGTTTGTCTGGCCTCTAACCATTGACCAATCTTGTATGAGTAGCTCTGAAGGTGCAAAAAAGCACCACCTAGCACAGCTCAATGGATCTCTGAGGAATGCAAACCATTGCAAAACGGTAAGGTCCAGCCTCATTGCGATGGATTACTTATAAGTAGGAATTTGGTGGTAAATTTTAATGTATTCCTTCCAGTAGCTCACAAGTTACATAGCACAACGCCAATCCGGAAAAGCCCTGGACGCGTTTCGCACTATCGGGACTCGTCAGTAGTGCGCATTCCTTGGTCCCCCTACTGGGGATCGAACCCATGACCGCAAGAGGCTGACGCCAACTAGCCAGCAACTTGAGCCAGTGAGCCATGGGGGACGGTAGTTGGGCTACACAACTTGCAAATTAACTGCCACACAGATTACTGTCTTTGCAGATGACAGTGGCTAGCTTCTGAAATCAACTTGCTCTAACTAGACGCCGTCCATGTCCATAGCATTTGAAAGTGAGCGGCTACATTTTTATATTACTTATGAGTAGGAGGACTTTAGTTGTAACACCTTCGCGCACAAGTACTTCGAACAGAATGCATCAATCGATTGAGTCGAACGTATGCTTGAAGTCCAGGAACATAGCTATTGTCAGCCTATGGCACGTGCGGCGCTGCTCCAGCAAATGCCGCAGAGTGTATACCTGGTCTATACAGTCACGTTCTGGGTGGAAACCTGTCTGCACTTCCCTAATCCGGGATCCCCGTTCTTCAGTAAGGCGACGAACGAGAATTGAGGCAAGTAATTTTCTCACCACTGGCGCTAGACTAATACCCAGGTGGTTAGCTCAATCAATGTGACTGCATTCCTTGTATATCGCCACTAACATTGATTCACTCCAGTTAGCTGGGATGGCGTCATCTCTCCGGAACTGTTCGAATTAGGGAGGTTAGTCCTTTGCAGAGGGTCTAACCCCCTCCTTAAATAACGCGGGTGTGGGAATCCGGGCAGCAGCACGAAAACGATTAAGGGCTGCAATCGCGCTTCGGACCTCTGCTTTCGACAGAACCTTTAAACTAACCGGTCATTACTGAGCTTACACCATCTGAGTAAAAAGAGGTCAAGACGCATGAGGACAACTGAACTGATCTCGAGTGCTCCGCTCAAAGAGCCATATGGCGCTCCCTATTAAGAACCATGGCACCCGCGCCGTCTCTGATTGTTTCATTGACACCTGGTTTTCTGGGACCAGTATTATGGATCGGTTGGAAGAGATTGCGATAATTGCCTACTGCTTCTGATTCCTCCATTTCTTGAGCCCTACTGGTCTATCGGGCTATCTAGTCAACATGCAGACCATACTTTAGTTCGCGCCTACTAGTGCGCTAGTTACATTGGGCTTAGAGCCAGCCAGGAGTGATTCTGGATTCCAACAGATTCATTGACCTCTCGGTTATCCAGTGACTGATGTGGTGACGATTGATAATGCCCCAAGAGTAAGCTTCTGCATTGTACATGGCGGCCGAGATCCTGCTCCATCAAAGCTCAGCGCTATTAGGACGAGAGAGCGAAAGTTAGGTACGCAAGGCATACTTGTAGGCTCGCTTGATCGCGGACTGAAATAACTTCACAGTCGCCAGTTGAGAGAGCCGTCTGGAACGCCTCAGCTCCTGAAGAGTTCAGACCCACTTGCGCGTTCATATCCCCTGCAAGAACTATGATATGTGAACTAGTAGCACTGCGTAGTAGCGTGATCAGTTCGAGTTGGAATGCCTCCTTGGTAGCATCAGAACTGCATTCGATGGGGGTACAAGCGGAAACCACAAATAAACAGCGTCTAGCGCTACTTCATGAAGCAACCTTAGTAGATGCCATCAAAAGACTGCACACAAACTCTCGCTCAGGAGAATCCAAGCAACCAATGTTGACTCAGCCTTGGAGCTAAGAACAACGCCTACCCCAGTTTGACCAGTGAGTGCCGCATCAGCGTCTCCGGACGCGTGCAACCAATAGCGATAGGAGGAACCGGGCGGAGTTAATTCAACAACCCCGTGAGGATCATTTATGTTAATTTCGGACACACGTCACTAACAAGAGTGTTTAACGTGTGTGCGAGTGCATGCTCTGTTGACCTATTTGTGTTCGTGTACGAAAGTTGAACGCCGCCAGGGAAACGGGACAGTATGGCCTTACAAGGAGCCGTTGCAGACTGGTCTCAAGTGGGGGACGAGGGAAGATAGCTGTGGATGGTATGACTCCAGTGGCGTTGCGGTTGCTATCAAGCAAACTGGGAATTATAGAAGGTTAGTAATGGGGTATGGGAGGCTGATGTAGCATTCATGATGCTTCTTCACCGCAGTTGGGCTAAACCAACTTACACTTAAACCAGGTCTTCTTAATGTGGATAAAATTCGTTACATTTTATTTGGTTTGTTCTGCGTACTTGATAATTTTCTCCCAACTTGCACACGTCGCTCATGCAAATTGTGGTAAAATTGCGTAATTGCATCGCGTGGTATTTTTAACTAACTTTCGGACATTTTGTACTTATCACGGATTCACCTATAACCAACTTCTTCTATATGCTCATTTAGCGAGGATTTATGTCGTCATATGCATTTACTTTATTCGATATCGGCATTTTGAGTGATTGGCTGCTGTTTGACATCCTAGGTGTGACTGCGCTTGATGTGCACGTTGACAAGGTGCCTACCTGTCTATTACCCACTACCTCGTCCATACCATCGCAATGAGGCTGGACCTTACCGTGGTGCGATGGTTTGTGTGCCTCTGTGGTCCATTGAGATACGCTGGGTGGTGCTTTTGCACCTTCAGAGTCACTCATACCAGATTGGTCAATGGTTAGAGGCCAGACAAACTCAGCCTCCTGGTCCTCCAGGTTGGGGGTTGGAATGAGGGTGGCACCTTATTCCTTAAAATGGACTCCTTGTAGCCCAACGCCAAACCCGCTGCCTTGCGGTCAGGTTTTTGAACCAAAGGCTTTGGTTGAGAACCCTAATCGTTCTCCTGTCTAGGCCTGGGCAACCTGACAGTATCCTGCCCACGCAATACTATGAATTTTCCTTCAAACAATTTCTTGATGCTCTGGCCACCGCAGAGGATAATAAACGGTGCCCTATCTGCTGCATCGAGCAGGGTGGATAGGAGTTTGGATGCTACTGCTCAAGCCTTCCCGTCTTCTTATTCCCCCTCTTACGCTTTTTCACTCTTACCGTCCCATTCCAACTTCACTTATATCCCCCCAGTTTTCAACCCCCGATTCTTGGCCCTCCCCCAACAT